CTGAACGAGTTGACGTGTTTGCAGCCAGGGTCGTTCATTCTCTTTGTATAGTTTGAGAAGAGAAGCTGGCGCAACAACAGTTTTGATGCTGCGAGGAGAGATTGAAAGCAGTGTCTGCTGGTGTCACTTTTGTCATCCAAAGTTGCCCGTGCAGACAAACAACATGTTGCATTTTGGAGCAGAGCGGTTGATGATATGCCGGCTGGGTTCATCTGGTGGTGCCTCTAAATCTCCTAAACCTGAAAGAGCAGAACAGTTTTGGGGTATGCTGGCCGAGATATGGAAAATGTTGTTGCTTCTTGTCGTCCTAAACCTCAAAAAAGCATGTTGTATCAAAACTTGCAGTTGCGGCAATGCGGTTTGACAGTGTTGTGGTGAGCAGAGCGGTTTTGACGGTTTTTGTGGTATGCTGGCTGAATTTCAAAGAGTAGTGTCTGCCGGTGTTGCTTTTTGTCATCCAAAACTTGAAAGAACAAAGCCCGCGAGATCAAAAAAGCATGCTGTATCAAGTTTTGTTGCAGTTGGGGCAGATCGGTTTTGACAGTTTTGTGGTATGCTGGCTGGTGTTGAAAAAGCAATACCTGCTGGTGTTGTTTCTTGTCATTCAAACCTGAAAGAAGAAGATCGAAAAACGTGTTGTGTCAAGTTCTGCAGTTGGGGCAGAGCGGTTTTGGAGTATTGTGGTCTGCTGGCTGATTTTTGAAAGAGTAATGTCTGCCGGTGTTGCTTCTTGTCACCCTAAACCTGAAAGAACAAAGTTTTGGAGACCCAAAAAGCGTGCTGTATCAAATCTGCAGTTGGGGCAGATCGGTTTTGACAGTTTTCTGGTATGCTGGCTGGTTTTGAAAGTGCTATACCTGTTGGTGTTGCTTCTTGTCACCCTAAACCTCAAAGAAAAAAGCTTTCGAGATCAAAAGAATGTGCTGTATCAATTTTGCAGTTGGGGCAAAGCGTTTTTGAGAGTTTTGTGGTATGCTGGCTGAATTCTGAAAGAGTAATGTCCGCTGGTGTTGTTCTTTTTTCTCACCCTAAACCTGAAAGAGCGAAGCCTTCCAGATCACAAGAACGTGCTGTATACAGTGACCGAGCAGTGTCTTCTGGTGTTGCTTTTTTGTCATCCTAAACCTGAAAGGGCAGAGCCCTCGAGATCAAAAAACCGTGCTGTATCAAACATCGCAGTTGGGTGAGAGCGGTTTTGACAGTTTTCTGGTATGCTGGCCGAGTTTTGAACAATGGTGCTGCTTCTTGTCATCCTAAACCTGAAAGGACAGAGCCCTCAAGATCAAAAAAACATGTTGTATCAAAAATTGCAATTGGGGCAGAGCGGTTTGACAGTGTTGTGGTATGCTGGCAGAAGTTCGAAACAGCAACGTCTGCTGGTGTTGCTTTTTTGTCATCCTAAACCTGAAAAGAGCAGAGCCCTCGAGATCAAAAAACCGTGCTGTATCAAACATCGCAGTTGGGTGAGAGCGGTTTTGACAGTTTTCTGGTATGCTGGCCGAGTTTTGAACAATGGTGTTGCTTCTTGTCATCCTAAACCTGAAAGGACAGAGCCCTCAAGATCAAAAAAACATGTTGTATCAAAAATTGCAATTGGGGCAGAGCGGTTTGACAGTGTTGTGGTATGCTGGCAGAAGTTCGAAACAGCAACGTCTGCTGGTGTTGCTTTTTTGTCATCCTAAACCTGAAAAGAGCAGAGCCCTCGAGATCAAAAAACCGTGCTGTATCAAACATCGCAGTTGGGTGAGAGCGGTTTTGACAGTTTTCTGGTATGCTGGCCGAGTTTTGAACAATGGTGTTGCTTCTTGTCATCCTAAACCTGAAAGGACAGAGCCCTCAAGATCAAAAAAACATGTTGTATCAAAAATTGCAATTGGGGCAGAGCGGTTTGACAGTGTTGTGGTATGCTGGCAGAAGTTCGAAACAGCAACGTCTGCTGGTGTTGCTTTTTTGTCATCCTAAACCTGAAAAGAGCAGAGCCCTCGAGATCAAAAAACCGTGCTGTATCAAACATCGCAGTTGGGTGAGAGCGGTTTTGACAGTTTTCTGGTATGCTGGCCGAGTTTTGAACAATGGTGCTGCTTCTTGTCATCCTAAACCTGAAAGGACAGAGCCCTCAAGATCAAAAAAACATGTTGTATCAAAAATTGCAATTGGGGCAGAGCGGTTTGACAGTGTTGTGGTATGCTGGCAGAAGTTCGAAACAGCAACGTCTGCTGGTGTTGCTTTTTTGTCATCCTAAACCTGAAAAGAGCAGAGCCCTCGAGATCAAAAAACCGTGCTGTATCAAACATCGCAGTTGGGTGAGAGCGGTTTTGACAGTTTTCTGGTATGCTGGCCGAGTTTTGAACAATGGTGTTGCTTCTTGTCATCCTAAACCTGAAAGGACAGAGCCCTCAAGATCAAAAAAACATGTTGTATCAAAAATTGCAATTGGGGCAGAGCGGTTTGACAGTGTTGTGGTATGCTGGCAGAAGTTCGAAACAGCAACGTCTGCTGGTGTTGCTTTTTTGTCATCCTAAACCTGAAAAGAGCAGAGCCCTCGAGATCAAAAACCGTGCTGTATCAAACATCGCAGTTGGGTGAGAGCGGTTTTGACAGTTTTCTGGTATGCTGGCCGAGTTTTGAACAATGGTGTTGCTTCTTGTCATCCTAAACCTGAAAGGACAGAGCCCTCAAGATCAAAAAAGCATGTTGTATCAAAAATTGCAATTGGGGCAGAGCGGTTTGACAGTGTTGTGGTATGCTGGCAGAAGTTCGAAACAGCAACGTCTGCTGGTGTTGCTTTTTTGTCATCCTAAACCTGAAAAGAGCAGAGCCCCCGAGATCAAAAAACCGTGCTGTATCAAACATCGCAGTTGGGTGAGAGCGGTTTTGACAGTTTTCTGGTATGCTGGCCGAGTTTTGAACAATGGTGCTGCTTCTTGTCATCCTAAACCTGAAAGGACAGAGCCCTCAAGATCAAAAAAACATGTTGTATCAAAAATTGCAATTGGGGCAGAGCGGTTTGACAGTGTTGTGGTATGCTGGCAGAAGTTCGAAACAGCAACGTCTGCTGGTGTTGCTTTTTTGTCATCCTAAACCTGAAGGAACAGAGCCCTCGAGATCAAAAAGCACGTGTTGTATCGACTCTTGCAGTTGGGGCAGAGCGTTTTTGACAGTTTTGTGGTATGCTCGCTGAGTTTTGAAGAATAGTAAAGGGGTCGGGCTGGCCTGTACCTGAACCACCCCCAACCCCTAACCTTAAGGCTCCAAGCCGGGCAGTTTCTGGCTTAAGGCTGCAGGCAGAGCTGGGCAGTCTTGGGCTTAGGGCTCCAAGCTGGGCAGTCTCTGGCTTAAGACTTTGGCTTAAGGGCAGTCTTTGGTTTGAGGCTCCAGGCCGCGCAGTTTTTGGCCTAGGGCTCTAGGCCAGGCAGTCTTTGACTTAAGGTTCCAGGCCCGGGCAGTCTCTGGCGGTAAGGCTTCAGGCTTTGGCCTGTTGGTGTTGCTTCTTTTCATCCTCAACCTGAAAGGGCAGAGGGGTATTGAGAGTATTGTGGTATGCTGGCTGAATTTTGAAAGAGCAGTGTTTGCTGGTGTTGCTTTTTGTCATCCTCAACCTGAAAGAGCGAAGCCCTCGAGATCAACAAAACGTGCTGTATCAACTCTTGCAGTTGGGGTAGAGCAGTTTTGACAGTATTGTGGTAAGCTGGCTTTGAAAGTGTTGCTTTTTGTCATCCAAAACTTGAAAGAACAGAGATTGTGGCTTTTGCATGGTTTCGCAAGACAGAAGGCTTTGTTCCAGCCGAGGGCTTGTTCCAGCCAGGGCGTTTTCCAGCCCCTGGCTGGTTCCAGCCCAGGGCGTTTTCTAGCCTGGGGCTTCTTCCAGCTCGAGGCATTCTCCAGCAAAGGGTGTGTTCCAGGCAGAAGCTTGTGAAAAATATTCTCGGCATGTTCCGGGCCTGGGTATTTTCCAGCAGCAGCCTGGTTCCAGCCCCGGGCTGTTTCCAACGAGGGGTCGTTTCCACCTCTGGGCTCATCACCCCGGTTTTGGAGTTAGCGTTCTTGGGTTGAGGGGTTGTAGGGTTTTAGGGTTTAGGGGTCAAAGTTGTGGGTCGGCTTTTCGGGTTTAGGTGTAGGGTTTAGGGCTTAGGGTTGTGGGTTGGTTTTCGGGTTTAGGGTTCCAGGACTCTTTGGGCCTTTCGGGTTTAGGCCTCAGTCATAGAGGGTTTGCGGTTCAAGGTTTAGGTTTTTTGGTTTTGGGGGGTAGGGCTTAGAGGTTGTAGGGCGTTATTTTACGGTTTAGGGTGAGTTCGCAAGGGGGGGGGGACCGTATTCCAGGGGGATACAAAGGGGGGTGCTCCAGACCCTGGGCTCAAGGAAAACTGAGGCTAGGCAAGACCGCCAAGCGTGTTGTTAGCCTTCATGAGTAGATGTTGGGGTTTAATTTTGGCGACGTGTACACTCACAGAATATGTTGCGCACTTCAGGATGAGGCTAGGAGGGCAAGTGCGTCAGAGCCGTACCGATCTGAGTGGCTAACCAGTTCCGTGGTATCGTCAAGGGAATTTGAGGCCCGATGCCTCAGTGCCTGTCGGGAAGATCCCGGACACCTCTGGAGCAACACGCTGGCTCGCTAGCCGCTTCGGATGATGCACTTGGGCAGACTACCTAAACACCCAAAACCACCAAATGCCAGTCTACATAGTACAATGTGGTATACTGATAGTTAATCTCCTCCGTGTTGCAGACAAACCTTGCAATGAGCTTTGGGCTTTTTGGCCAGGCCTAGGGTTTAGGTGTTTAGGCGTTCCGGGGTTCCGTGTTTAGGGGCCTAAGGCTTAGGGCTTAGGGACCGGCATTGCAGCAGCCGGATATGAAGTGCAAACTCCCCCCGCTTTGGTCCCGGAGCCTGGGAGGTTTCCATACCAGCTGGTGCAACCTTGAGGCTTGAGGTAGTAGGGGACTTAGTCTATGCAGTTTTTCTTTGGGTTCTATAGGAGAGCCCTGAGGCTGCTCCTATGCTTTTTCCCATGTACACAGTCGCTGCGGAGAGATTGCTGGAGATGAAGAGCCTTGAGACACATGAGAAGCTGAAGGTAGGGCTTACGCCCTTTTTAGAGTTTTGGCAACCTTAAAAGGCTTTACGGGTTTACACTTTAAAGGGCGGAAAGGGTTCGAAAGGGTTGAGGTCAAAGGCAGGGACTTTGGGGAACCGAAGAAGCTACTATTGGAAATTGTTTTGGCTTGTCCTCAGGGTTTAGGGTTCTCATTATTGGTCTCTGTTTGATCCTGAGGTTTGCCGCCTACTTCTTCATGTGTTAGGTTTGGTATATCTTTCAGTAGGGGCTCTGGATTCGGCTCCTTTTTGCACAAGCCAAGCCAGAACCTTTATTAAGCCCTACATTTTTCCAATAGACGCCCGAAGCACCTACGCATTCCTCTTGATGGTGTTTGGCTCCTTCGATAGTGTTTTGCACGCATGGTTCTCATAATCATAGAGTGTTTTCCTTTTGGCAGGCCCGGGGCGACGTTGTTGTCTTCGACGATGGTATGGGGAACGCTGGCTTCGTGTCACACCAGTGGATTGCCAAGCATCATCCTGATCCTGATTTTAAGCAGATGCGGGTGTTGCAGGATGCCTTGAAGCACCTCCTGACCAGTCGTGGCACGGTTTGGTTGGATTTCGTCACAGAAACCTTCGTACCTTCTGCCAAGGTCATCTCCTGTCAGGACTTCCAAACCAAGCCACTCTTTATATGGTACGACTACTTCTCTGTTCCACAGCTGGAGAGACGTGAAGGTTTTGCCACAGACGATGAGGATGGAAGCAATCAGGGGAAGGCCATTAACAGCATTCCCGCATACGTTGGGAAGTGCCGCTACTTTTTTGCCCTCTGCCCGACAATAGACTGTCCCTTACAGGGTGGGGTTTTGAACGCCCTGACGTGGGGTAGGCGGGGGTGGTGTAGGGTCGAACGAGCATCACGGGAGCTTTCCGAGCACAACACATGGATCCTTATTCAAGGCTCTGACTCGCTGCAACTGGTGGGCACCGTTCAGTCCTTTGTGACCGGGTCCGTTGGCGAGGGCGAGTTCACCGTGGAGAGCGACAGATCAAAACTCGCACCAGTCATGGAGACCGTTGTGAAACGGAAGCTCAAGCTATCTCTGCAAGCCAGAGATTTTCCGAGCTACCGCCGCCACCTCAACCTCCAGACTGTGCACCTCCGAGGCCTGGACGTGGAGCCTTTGGAGGACCTTGTTCCGAACGAGCCCGATGGGCCCAACACTGCTGGCGCTGACGTGGTGGCACACTTCTTGCACCAGAATGGCTTCAGAGGAGCTGTCCAGAAGGATGTGGCAGGCTGGTGGCCGCTGCACTATGCGGCGCTATCAGGAAAGGTAAAGCTGATCGAGGGCTTGCTTCAGCAGCGTGCCAATCCCAATTCCCGCACTAGCAAGGACGAACCTACGCTGGGCTTTCCGCCCTTGGTTTCGGCACTCGACCTGGCAATCTTCTACAAGCACAACGATGCTGCAAAGCTGCTGATCGCGGCCCAGGCGCAGCTTGAAGGAGGAATTTCTCCCGCTATGCTCTTCGCAAGCCAGGCTAACAGTGCCGAAGGAATCCGCCTGCTCTGCGACAATGGCAGCGAAGCCATTCTGAGAAATGCTGTTGGCCTTACTTCTTTGGAAGCTGCGGCGAGCTATGGGGCCCGCGCAGCCATGGAAGAGCTGGTCAGAAATGCACAGCCCGGTCTCCTTGAACTGTCTGGAGCGCTTGAAGCAGCCATGCAGCATCGTGGTGGCTCCGCGGAGATGGTTGAGTTTCTGGTCGGCATGAAGGCCGACGTAGATTTTCAATACACTCTCCGCTATGACTATGTTCAGTTTGGTCGGCTGCGCTTCCTGGCCAAGGCGCTGCAGCACAGATTCGGCCGAGCCAGCATGTTGTCGGAACAGGCTTATCACATTCACGGCCTCACACCACTGATGGCAGCTCTTCGGTCAGGACAGTACGAGGGGGCTGCTGCCCTGATTGCGGCTGGAGCCCGACTGGATCTGAAGAACAGCCGAGGATTCACAGCGGCCGACTTTGCTAGAGGCCAGTCGATCCCAGAGTTTCTGCAGCGAGGTCTTGAGGGGAATCCATCAGAGTGTCATAGGGTCTCGTCCTTAGCGCATCCTGACGGATACGTTGAGGTCCCCTTCTAATTTCAATAATTTTCTCGCGCAGTTTGTGAGTGCACGGGAGGCCGTGCCTGAGAGGATCAAAAAAGCTCAGGGTTAATAGACTTCCCCCTGCACGTTGCGGGTTTGGGCTTGCCTGGAGACCTGCGAACTCGGTAACTCAAAGGCTTTCTTGGGGGGGTCACTGGGATTGAGGTCGGGACTACCCAATAAGTGCGACCAATGCGTGCCACGGGCCGCGGCCATCGGCAGAACTCCTGCTGATTCATCGTTGTTCTGAGTGGAACACTGTTCACAAAGCTAGTTTTGGGAGAATTCGCTTGGGCACGTTCAGTGTGGCCATCGGATCGGGTAGGGCAAGATGAATCACGACGATCGACGTGGCCATGATGACGAGCTTCAGCCTCAACGTTGTGACGTCGTAGCTTGTCTGGCAACGCTCGTGCAACAACATGCGCCAGTGCGCCCGGCTGCGCAAAGTCGGCTCGCCGCTGGTGGGGGCTCTTGCCCGCAAGGTGCCAGCAAACGGTCGCCCGAACTGTTCTTGGAGGGCACGCGCTTGCGGGGCCGGACCATGTGCCATACAGGCAGCGTGAACAGCGGAACGTCGTCGGCGGCGAAATGCAGATCTGCAAATGGATGGCCCAGCTCTGATTTTCTTTGGCATTGTGGGCCAGGGGAACGAAGCTCCGCGGGTCAGATGCTGGAGGATGCGGAGGGAGAGGGGGGAGAAGGCAGGGAGGCACGCTGTGGCGACTCGGGTTGTGCACGGGCCTACAAATGCCCGCGCGCCTTGAAACCACATGTTAAATGCTGCTGTCTCTGTCTGCAGTAAGGGCTGCCTGAGCAAGTGCTCGTGGGGGATGCGCCTCAGGTCGAGGATTGAGGGCTTTGCGTTCGGGGAGACTTGCTGCCATACGCATCTTCGAGGCAAGCCGCACTGTTTATGTGGTACTGCCAGCACCCGCGCAGCAGCAGCATCAGCGGGCCATCGTTTTTCGAAAAAAACGGCGGCCATGCCTCCAGCGAAAACTGTTCGAAAAGAGGCCCCAGCTCACCAAACCCCAAAACCCAGCACACCGCCGGAACTCTGGACCGAAAATGGCTCCCAAAATGAAATCCCCCCTTTGGTCCCCCAGTACAGATTAGCTTACGCTGGGTACTAAACCAAAGGCTCTCCTCAAGTTTAAGTTTGAGGGGGGAGCTCTCGTAGACCAGCTTGTCTGCTCTGCCTTACTCAAGCAGTTGATCCAAGACATTCCAAGACCAAAATGTTTCCTTTGTTTTGTTTGTTTTCTTTGTTTTGTTGATGGGTTGATTGGTTGATTGGTTGGCTTACGTTGGATGTAGGGCCACTCACAGGAAAGCGTAGAAGGAGGCAAGCCGCAGCGCAGGGGACCTTTCCTAGTATTCTCCATTCCAAGTATGCCAGCGCAGCGATGCGAGACATGACCCGCTGTCAACGGGCATCATCGTTACATTACGAGCTGCGCGCTGTTCGCGCTTTTGAAAGCATGAAGCTCGGCATGCGGCAGGGCGCAAAACATGGGCGAACAAAGCAGGCATCAGGGGGTCGCCCTGTTCACCCTCCTCCGCTTGGGCAATACTGTACGGTGAGAGTGATCACCGGCTTGTGCATACCATAAGCGGCAAAAAGGGAGAGCTGCAGACGCACCCGGGGCATCACGCAAGGAAGCCAGCATAGCCTCGCGTGCCTGCAAGGTACGGGCAAGTGCTTCGCCACCGGCACGCGTGGGGGGAGGGCATACTGGTGTGGAAGGCAAGCAGCCTCGAAACTGACCAGCCGACCTCGCGGGCGGCTGACGCCTTTTGCTGGATGACGCGGATGTTTTCGGCCTATTCTGCGAAGCCGCCAACCTCCTCGCCTGTGCGCAGGTGCCTGATGCCATTGTTGCTGGACTCGCGCTGGGCCACTTGGTGGCCATGCGTAAACCCTGCGGTGCGTGGCCTCATCGTGGGTTAGCTATGGCGCCGGCTTGTTGCACGCACGCTGGCACAGCAGCTTGGGCGGTTTTTGTTGTAGTTATTATACGCCCTTTTACCACAGCACGAGAAGGGTTTGGTCCGGCCCTTTGCGGAGTGCGTCGCTCGGGTGCTGCCCGGGGGCACCTTACCGCGCGAGCAGGCGACTGGCAAGCGGTGAGGTCAGCGCGGAGGTCGGGCAGAGGGCCATCGACGTTGGCGTTGCCGTGTGGAGGGGTGCCGTGGAGGGGCAACGACATCAGCGACGCCGCAAAGGAATTGGCGTTTGGGCAAGGAAATTTCCAGAAGCTGAGATTCATACTCGTGAACAAACACCTGTCAATCAAAGGCAGATTGAAGCGTTTCAATGCCGTGGTAACCCCTACGGCACTGTTCGGACTTTCTACATTGGCACTAACGGCGCGGCAGTTGGAAGCTATATGCCAGCGAAAAATGTTACGAAGCATGCGGCGGTGAGGCCCGTCTGCCCCCCCCAACCCCCGAGCCCTGCGAGGACATGCTGCGGAAAAAGGCGTGCGGAAAAAAGGAAATTATATACGCAAGGCCTTTGATGCCGCGTGGCGGGAAGGATCTCTCGTACGGCTTTGGCGTGCTGGTTTCCCTCCTAATTTGTGGCACCTGCCTGATGATTTCATCTCAGGTCGCACTGCATCTGTGCGTGTTGCCATCTGACCAACGGGATGTCGAAAATGGTTTGGGTCAAGGTGTGGTTCTTAGTGGGTTCCTGTTCAACATTTTGATCAATGGCTTGGAAGGAGATATCAAGCGTGTTTGTCATGGTGTGAAGGGTGGGTCATGCCCGATGCTCCACGACTGCAATTTTTGATGAATGCAGATGACATTGCTATTTTGAGTGATGATCCTGCTGATTTGCAACGGGCCCTTGATGATGCTGCTGCTGCTGCTGCTGCTGCTGCTGCTGCTGCTGCTGCTGTTGCTGCTGCTGCTCAGTGGGCTACGCGCTGGCGGTTTCATTTTGCAGCAGGTCCAAAAAAGTCAGCCGTTACGTGTTTTGGTTCTGGGTGCCCACGACGTTGCTTGCCAGTGTCAGGTCTTATGTTTGGGGGTATTGCTTCAGAGTAATTTGGGTTGGCGACAGCACGCTGATCACCTTATGTGCCTGCCCCCGACCTGTCGCGAGGCCATGGCGCACGCGGCCTTGGTCTGCGCCGGCGGCGCGCCGACGTACTACCCACCCGGATTGGGACCTGGGTGCTTATCTTGGGGATGGTTTTGCTTCGCGGGGCATTACTCGGGGTTGTGGCCACAGTCTTCCTGCTTCTCCAGCGCGCCCCGGCCCGGACCCAACCCGCTACAATCCTGGCACCGTGCAGCGACAAGCGTCCTGGCCTGCGCCGCTGGCGGCCCGACAGAACTTCGAGCCCTTGCGACGCAGGCAGGCACGTCATCATAGGAGTTGCTGTGCCGCTTGCTCCGAGAAGCCGTGGCGTCGCTCCAGGAGGAATCGCAGGAACCGCCCCGACTTGCCGGAGCCACCCTGCCGACCCGTGCAGGCCCCACACCCCGGACCTCCGGGCCCGGAGGCAGACCCCAAAGTTGATACCAGTCGCGGGGAGGACACTCCTTCCACACCCCCACCATGGCAGACGTATCGGTGAGGCGGGTCACCCCGGGCCGGTCGATGTGCAGGACTCACGACGCATCCGGGCCGTGCACGCGCTCGCCCAGATGAACATGGCCTGCTCTGCTTTGCTCCGCCCCAGCAAGCGCAGCGAGCCGCCTTTGGAGCGCATGCTCGACTAGGCGGCGCCGTCGGATTCTAGTTGGTTGCCTTCGCATGGGTGTGAGAGGTGGAGAGGGTATTCGTCTCGCCCGCGACCGGACAGCCACCTGCCATGCGAAGAAGAATCGTGAAAAAACACACCACATCCACAGTTACACGCAGTAGTTTATGGTCAGTCCATCATCGACCCCGCTCATGCTCGCGTCTGGGGTTTGGTTCGTTGTGAGCATCATGACTTGTCGGATGGCCGTTATGCACGCCATCGTGGTGTGAACCGGCAGCGACCTTGTCGATTTTGTGGTTCCGCCACTGACTCACTCCAGCATGCTCTGTCGGAATTTGTGCACCATCAAGCGCGCCAGCGATGGCGCACGCAATGTCGCATTGGTAGCTCATGTGGCTCATGTGTGCCTTGCCGCTGCGGCGTGTGAGATCTGGGTGGCCTTCCTGAATGGTGCTCTTTCGCACAGTATATATGCGTTCTGAATGTTAGTAGTTTTTTGACATTGTCATGTTTGCTTAACTCATAGTCGTCGTCCTCGCCATCGGTGTCGGAGGCCGCTAAAGCCCCGAAGCCGCACGCTTCGTGCGCTTGCTCGGCGGTCCCGGCAGCGTGCCGGGCCCAGGCCGCCAGCGCCTTCGTTGCCCGCTGGTCCGCGCTGCTCGCCATTTCCGGAGCCCGCCCTCCTCGCGCTGCCCGTCGCCTCCAACGTCGACGGACCCCCGCCTGACGTCAGCACTATGGTGTGAAAGAGGTGCAATGCCATCCCCACATCGGCATGCGCGTTGCGGAGCTGGCAGGTGTGTGACGGCGAGCGCCCGCTGCGCAGCCTTCTACCATTCTTCGCTTCTTCCACGCCGAGCTTGCGTGCGTCGACCACGACCCTGTCCACGGAGCGGCCGCAGCCCACGTTGCCTGCGCAGAAGCGCTGACAGCTTCGCCTGCTGCGGCTTTGCCTCTGGCGAGCTCAGTCCCTCTTGTATCACAGCGTTCACTTCATAGCGCACCAATCTTTCGCCTTTTACCAAAGGATGCCGTGAATGGGACGCATCAATCAAATGGTAGGGGCACACTCGCGCATCTACGGCTGCGCACGTGAGCTTTGTGGCCAGCATTTGCCAAGCCCAACGGTCGCTGCTTGAGGGTTTGGAACCCCGGAGTAGTACTTGACACGTCTTGTGTCCCCTTGTATAATTTTGGTGAATTTGGGCACCTTCTTGTGCTCTTTGTTTCACGTGCAGATACTGACCGCGGGACGGTTGTTTCAGGACCACTGCTGCTGCTCTTGTATGGATGCGCAAGGATATGTCCCCGCTGCAGCGCAAGTGGCCCTGCTCCAAACATGCGGTGGCAGCCCTCGCCTCTGCGGCCCACACGTTGGCGGAGGATGCGCGCTCGCGCCAGCCCAGCCGCTCCAAACGCTCCAGACGGGGCCGTATGCCCCTGCGCCCTTCGCAGTAGCAGTAGGAGCCGATTAGACACGAAGTGTGCAAGCAGAAAGGTCCGAGAAAAAAAAATATAAAAAACTTCAAGATGGCGAGGCCATCGAACTGTTGACGAGGCGTAGTTGTTCTCGGTTCGCCGTTGGGGCACCCGGCCTTCGTCCAGGCATGGGCTGAAGAAGAGCTGCGCGCCGAACACGAGGGTTCTCGACCAACTGCCCAAGCTTCCGGACCTTCAGTGCGCGTGGCTGCTTTCGTGCGCCTTGCTTGTAGTGTTTCACGTGGACGAAACCGAGAAAAAGAAAAAAAAAAACCCAAAGCGCCTCGCCTCGCGCTTGCCCCCTCGGCGTCTGCGGCGTGCGCCCAGGGACATGACGATGCCATTTGGACAACGTTGCAGAACATGCTCAGCGGACAGGCTCGGCGGACGCTGCCCCGGCAGCTTATTGGGCCTGCCTGCCATGGTGCGTGGACAGCTACGTGCAACTACTGGAGATTAAGGTCGGAGACGACGCGCGCTGTCTCGCAAAGGCGGCGCATGCACGTCGCACCTTACAGGACCAAGGCTGGAGCAACTGCTCGCCCCGCCCCACCGAAGGCGCCAGGTGCCGGAGACTGGCCGGATGGTTGGCAGTACCACGCATCGCGGACCCTTGCCGTACACTCTCGCGATCGTGTGCTCCTTGCCATCCTTGCCGCGCAGGTCGCACGCACTTTTTCGCTCTCAGGCGGGACCGCATGCCGCTGCATGGCTCACTGACATACCGTGCGACGAAGCAAGCCGCATCCCACCTGAAGCTGCGGGCTGGCGGGCAAGGGCGTTGTCGGTTGGTCGTCTTCGGCATGGAAGTCGGAGGACGATTCAGCCTCAACGCCCTGGTCTTCATCCGCCGCCTGGCGCGGGCACGTGGACGAGCGCGTGTGCCGTGGAATGCGGCCGCGGCCGGCCGGGCGTTCACCTGGCGGTGGCATTGCCTTGCGTCATTGGCGGCACTGCGCGCACACGCGCAAACGCTGCGTGAGCTGCCGGTGCAGTCGTGCGACGCGGGGGATGACCAGGAGCTGCCGCTGGGGGAGTTGCTCGCCGAGCGCCCAGGGCAGCCGGACTGTGAGCCCTGACGGTAGCCCCGACCCTTGAACCCAGGACAGCGGGTGCAAAAGGAGCGAGAAAAAAAACAAAAAAAGATGCAAGTTGCCCTGCGGCGTCGCTTACGGCTACCCTTACCTCTTTGCCCCCGGACGCTGCGGCCACAACCCGGGGTGTGGTGGCGTCATCGACCCTTACGGCGACCATGCCCTCGCTTGCCCGAGGACAGGCTTGTTGGCTATGCGCGTCGAGCGCGCGTGGGTCCGTGTGGGCGAGAGGCCGTCGGAGCCGAAGGTCAGGTCATGCCACAGTAGTCACAAGACCCCAGCCGACGACCGCCGCCTTGATCTCGTCGTTTACAGCGTCACCGCCAACGGAGGAGCGCTGTGTCGCGGAGCGACGCAAGCATTGCACGTACCCCGAACTCGCGAGGGGCGGCCCGCAGAAACTCCTGGTCTTTGGCTCCGAGATGGGAGGCCGCTGAAGCGCTGCTGCGCAGTGCTTTGTTCGCGAGCTCGCCCGGCTCCACGCTCCACGTGCGCTGCCAGCCGTGCGCGCTGCGGCATCCTCTGGCTGGTGGGGAGCCCTTACCGTTGCGGTCCAGCTCGCCGTGGCGAGCACAGCCTTGGGCCGAGCGTGGCCGGCTGCGCCACTGCCTGGGCCGAGCGACTGCCCGGTGGTCGACCTCGCCACCAACGAAGGGCCTCGCCGCCTTCCCCTGCGGCCCCAAACCGGGACCGCCTGACGTTGTAGTACTGTTGTGGTAGTTCGACCAACGTAGCTCTGGCATTTTCTTGCGGTCGGAAAAGGCCGAAAAAAAAAAAAAAAAAAACTGCTCAGAGAGACGGGTCTTTGAACGATCGTGTGTCATGAGCAGAACTGAAAGTGAAACAGTATGTACATGCTTTGCCCGGCCCACCTCGCCTGAGCTGCAGCTTGAGTCATCGCTCTTCCGTGTTTTGCTTCTGCGCCGGCTTCGCCTGCCGCTTCCGCTAGCTGCAGCTGCCTGCAGATGCCGCCGGCATCTAGATGACTTTGGGGATCACATCGCAGCATGCCCTCGGTCCGGCATCCTCCGCTCCCGCGGCATTGCGCCTGTCAAGAAGCCGGGGCAACAGTGTGGCAGCACGTGCTGGTCCGTGATCTAAACGTTGTGCCTGCTCGGCGTGACGAGCGTCGTATCGAAGTCATCGCCAATGGCCTCCCGCTTTGGAACGGGGCGCAGGTCGCTGTCGATAGCACGCTCGTCTCCCCCCTCACATCCTCAGCTGAGCCTCGGCGCCTGACGCTGCACTCCGTGCCGCCCGCCGAAGCAAAGAGCGGACGTACCCTGAGCTGGTCGGCTCGCGGCGTTGCCACCTTGTCGTTCTCGGCATTGAAATCGGCGGTCGGTGGAGCGCCGAGGCAGCATCTTTCATCCGCTTGCTCGCCCGCTGCCGTGCCCGGGCTGCGATCCCGCGCGGCCAGCACGTCTGCCTTCGCACTCCGATGGTCAGCAATCCTCGCCTTTGCAGCTGCCAGGTCCTTCGCAGCCAGCCTTCTTGCTTTGCCCCTGGCCGGGACCTCCAACCTCGATGGGGATGCGCCGCTCCTCAGTGCCATCCTTGCAAACTCGTCCGAGAGTCCTGCCCTTGCCAGCCGCTTGGCATGAGTCGTCTGCCCGTCCCCCACTCTCGCCTTCCGATCGCGCAGGCATCTGCGCGGTTGAGCAAAAAGGCGTGCCAAAAAAAATTCAAACACAATATCAAGGAGCGCGACATGAATCAAGCCTTTTCCCTGCACCGGGACCTGCGCGCAGATAGGGGCCAAAAATGTGCGCCAAAAAAAGCAGGTGGCCGCTTTGGTGCCGAGGCCGCCCGCTTCCTCCGCCTTTTGGCCCGGCACCGCCCCGCCGCACTCAGACCGGCGGCGCAAGCGGCGTGGGTCGCGCGCTGGGCTGGGTTCTTGGCGGTGGCTGCGCAGCGCGCGTATGCCAGCTCCCTTCTTCTCCTTCTTGAGCTGCCGCTAGCCGGGGAGTGCTGCGTGGGCGGAACGACGCCAGACCTCCACGAAGTCCTGGCCGACGCACGCTGGCTGGCGCCCCCGCAACCCGGCCGCCTGCCGCTGCCTCAGCACTAGGCAGCCCCGGGGCCAGCGCCTC